GACTAAGCATACTAAATAAACTCCTAAGCCATACTTTTTATAGACCCATACCTGTCCAGCTCAACTCATAAAGGTCGCTTAAGTTATAGGCCTTTTGGTGCCCTTCATTACTGCCGAATTCGGATACGAGCTCCTCTCCTCTGAGACGGATTTCATGTTTGCAGATTGGCCGCACAGGCCAGCTGCCTCCTGTTCCGGGTTGTAAATCGCTCCTAGCTTGCCGCATGATAAACCGATCAAGTCTTCAAATAAAGGACTGGCCCCCTGAAAAGACCTAAATAAAAAATTCACCGATCTCCGCTAGCGTCCACCACAATACTCTCCAGAATCACGTTTCCTCACTTTCACAAAAACAACCGCAGCGCCATATTCTCCCCATTACTTCACAATCGCGCTCTTTTCGCTTAAAGCTTCCGCGTTAAGTTAACTACGACCAAATAAACAAAGATTTCCAATCACATATACCGCTAACACATTCCGTTGGCCCAGACCACGTCGGATAAATGCTCGGTATCTGTGTCACTGCCCGTTTCCGCGCGATCATGAGTACTTACAAACCCCATCAGTCATGTTTTCATTCTGTACCATCATGCTCATGCCAGCCCAGCGGTATGGCACGCGTCAGCTGCTGTCCCGATGTTTACGGTCACATCGGGAGACAAAGACCATGAAACCCTCCCTCAAGCCACTGAAGATATATAACCAAGACAAATGGCACTCCTGTTGTAGACTACTTAGGGGGCTTTACATCAACCCTCAGCTCCTCTTACCTCATACACCAAAGCTCCCGCCTTTCTCTGCATGCCAGGGTCTTTCCCTGTGCAAGTCGTGCAACAACTGTTTGTACTCTGCGACTAGTGCGGCACACTCGACCCGACCACAAGGAATGCGGGACCACTCCTGTCCGCCAAATTCGCCGATACACGTACGCCGTTTAATCCTTTTTATGTATGAACTTGCATTCACTCACCAGATTTCGTCTGCGTAAACAAACATCTTCGGGCATGTCCGGACTGATTTTCGTCCGCTAAGTAAGACCATTGGTAGGGCCCATGTTTTCTCCTCTTTCAACCACAGTGCAGATTTACTCGGCGCCGAAAGATTCGTGTCTGTCAGACCTTGCATGCTTGTATGCGTGTAAGGCATGGTGGCCACTTTGCAGAGAATCAGCAAAAAGTGCGCAACATGGTACTTAAGCTCCACATGTCAGTTCATTTACTGGGTAGCTGTCAAGACAGCACCCATCACCAATTTATTTGGAGCTTGTCAAGACAACGCTCATTTAGTGGTTATTTTATTCTATATTAGCGAACTCAATGCACTTCCAAGTTCTTTCAAGTCGAAGGCTTGAGCACCTACCCTTAGACACGCCAAATTCCTCTGAAGATATAGTTTGAGCCAAGAAAACTTCTACATGAAGTTTTAGCAATCAAATGCATTTATTTTAAACCCTAAAACCTCCCTCAGACTCCCGCACTATTGCAGAAGAATTTTCAAGCCCACTCAAGATGTATTGCGGGCTAGTATTTCATGTTTCAATGGCTGACAAGTCTCATGATGCCTGAGTAAATATGGTGGAAAGCTTTGTGGAAACATTAGTTCCTTGATGTGCTTCTCCTGCATTGTGTTGAGAAAAAGCGTCAACTGATCTTAGCATATGGGTGAGTCAGTGTGGATTACTATCTTTAAGAATGCAGGGACAAGCGATCGGAGAACGGCGTGGGGCTCATGGTTTTGTGCTACCTGAGTCGTTGGGGTGACCATAGCATGGTGCAGATATAAAGTAGAGAAAATGGCAAAGGCATTTCAAAACAGGCTGCTTCAGAGTAGCTACGATGCGTGAATTCTGTTGGTGTGGAAAATATGACGTATCATGAGAGCTCAACTGGGTGACACAAAATTACAAGCCAAAAATTATGAGTTCATAAGGTTAGACAACAAAATGTGATATTGCACCTACAAAACGCGCATATGAAATGGATACAAACTTCATATTCTGGAGAGTTCCGTTGGAACGGTGCACAACTTTTTGAAAGTTCAGAAAAGGACAAAAAGAACGGCAAATTGATTTGAACTAAGGACAAACGTGCGCACACACCACCCAGGAACGTAAGTTGTCAAAAAACGCACGTGACAAGTTCGTCAGGATTGTTTTTATGTCATAGGTAGAAAGTTTTTGGGAAATTTAGGGTGAATATTAAATACATAAGGCAGACGCTGAAAACAATGGGTTCAGGGAAGCGTGAGGTGTATCCTAAAGAAAAAATATACCGTCTAACCGAAACCGGCTTGGCTTTACTTCGACCAAGCCAACTCAGAACCTGACTCCAGCAAAAAGAGAGGCGAAAATGGTTATCTGGGTCTGGCCTCATTCACACCTCCCAACCCTTCATATTCCATACCGTGACCGAGCACCGAAGGTTCATCTAGCCTTTCTAGGACGCATATCTGCAGTGTATCCTGGTTACTGAGCCATCGGGAGTCTCGAGCACTACCGCCCTGATGAATGCATCCGGTTCAGGTATAGCGGCGGCTACGAACTCGTTCGCCCAGGTGCGGAGCGTATGTTGCTTTTTAATTATCAGCACCAAATCACTCGTTTGTATGTTTCTATTGATGGTCACCACTTATGCCACAAATGAAGCAGTAGAATATATTCTTTCAGTCGGCGGCGCTAAAAGGTGATGACCACCAACTGACTCTGCATCCACTGCCGAATATGTCGATGTCGCATTCCCGGAACTCCATCAACGTGGACGAATTATACTCATAGACAGGAATAGATAGCTCGAGGTTAGCACATCGGTGTTATCAGGATCATCCAGCAATGGGACTAGTGGTTGCCCCTTTCTATTCGTTCCAATTCCGTGAAATATGTCGTCAACGGCTCCGGTGCTAGCGCATACTCCCGAATAAATGCGCTTAGATCACGTCGAATAGATCTTACCGGATTTCACATCTGCGGTAATGATAAGGATTAGAGCGTCAATAAACTTGTCGGTGTAGCACGTAGTTATTGATTTTGTTGCAAAACAAAGTCCTTGTGAATTGCTTCAGCTCCGCTTCCGCTCCAACAAGGTTAGTACTTCTGTGTTGTTTTGTACCTTTATTTTGCTTCCATTAAAACATTACGTACTTTCCCAATTGCATAACCGTTTTTTGTTTGACTACGAAGACCTACAAAAACACTCGCACAGTTTCGTGCAATACAAACGTGGTCATGTGCTTCGACTCTCTCTTCTGATTTCGCTCGCGCTCACAGCGGTCATTCGCAAGTCTCATGTGTCAACTCTGGTATCAAAACAGTTCAGACTATTGCCGTAATCTATCATAAGTGAGAACTGTTCAGAAGAAGACCCTGGGCAACCATGATTGGATTATTGTTTATTGGCTGATCTAGACCAATGACGAACTATTTTAAAGAGAACAATAGTTAGGGAGTCCGTTCCGTCTGACCTCTTTATTAATGTATACTCAATCTAGCATCATTATTTCTATTCCTCTGCCACACTCCTGCTAAAGTAGCTTATTGGGCAGCCAAACCACTTCAGATTTGGTGCGCCCGAATCTTCCTAGATATTTTTAAAAAAAACTTTCCTTCAAGTCGTCGTAATATTTTCATTTGTCCGGTCAATAAGCAGGCACACTTTGACTCATTGGATTTAGTAGAGGATGCAATTAGCATACGTTTACCCGACTATATTCCCCGTAAACACAGGGTATGGTTTCACCAGGTCGAGGCTGTTTTACTACACGACACCACTTCCCAAGCCATCCGCTTTTCCTATGTTGTCCAGCATCTTCCTGGTGATGTAGCAACAGAAGAAAATCCCCAAGGAAAACCCTTTCGAGTGGCCGTCATCAGTAGGATAAGAAAGTCCGAAACCGAGATGTCAAGGGATTTATTCACCACAGTCAAACTTGATGACAGGTTGCCATCACAACTGCTTCACGACATGCGCAGTCTCCTTCGCGGCCGTAAGGCAGCGGTGGAACTCATGGCACATCTATGGCTCGACAAACTTCCAACATCCATGTCTCGCTTCATCAAAGCTTTCGTTGGTGAACACAGCTTGGAGCAGCCAGCTCAAATGGCGGATAAATTCCACGAAACTTACTCCGATCACCCGGTCAACCCCGTCTCCCGCCCTACACCCACCACATCCACAGATTCCGATGCAATACTTTCTGTCATATCACAACTACAAACTAGATTTGGTACCTTGACTTATCGCCTCCAGCGGCTGGAGAGCAACAAGCATCGATGACATTCATGATCTCAATCGTTGCCCCGTACCTGTCCCTCTTGGGGCTGGTATCATCAATCTTTCGGCCTTCAAGCACGCAAATGCCAACCGCCTTGCCCCTAACAGAATTGTTCTAACAGCCCTTTAAACACCCGCCCAGTCGGTAACGGCGACAGCTTCCTGTGGTTCTCCTCGCACTAGTAGTCTATTCCACATCACCGATAACTTGAGTGGTCTAAGTTTCCTCGTAGATACGGGAGCTTAAATTAGTTCACTACCACACAAGAATCCGCTTCCCGATTCTGCTTCTTATTTGTCACGGGCCGCTAAGGTACCCACACCGCTACATACGGCTAACGTTTTCTCACCCTTGACCTCGGATCGCGACGTGCGTTCAAGCGGATCTTCCTTTTCGCCGACATCCAAACACCTATCATTGGTGCAGATTTCCTGACCCATTACAATCTATCTGTCGACGTGCGACACAAACGTCTCTGAGACACACTTACTTCCCTCTCAGTCAACGGAGTTGGTGCCCCAAGTTCATCCACAGGTATCCGAGTTATCTTACCTGATTAACATTTTGCCGACATACTTAGGGATTTTCCAATCCTTACTCATCCATACCAGCACACTCAAACTGTCACTCATTCCGTCGTTCACCACATCCAGACGAGAGGTCCACCTGTCCATACCAGCCCCCGCCGACTTCATCCGGATAAGCTCCAAATCGCAAAACACGAGTTCGAACACATGCTCGAACTCCGCATCATTCACACTTCATCGAGTCATTGGTCGTCACCTCTATATATGGTACCTGATAAATCTGAAGGTGATTGAGGACCCTGTGGAGATTACCGTCGTCTAACGAACGACGAAATTGCCATGACGAATGAGTAAAATAACACTAAATAGGCCAGTTCTATAAGGATAGCACGTGTTTGCAAACATTTAAAAATAAAACCACATCGCATCCTCATAATACAGTATTTGCAGTTTTGGTGCGGTTTGTCAAGGCCGGTTGCTGCAAGGGTCAATATGGCTTCGCCCAGTAAACTGGAAGGTCTGCCATTCTTTGTTCGGCCGGAAGGACCAACATTAATTTTGAACCCATGCATCATTTTAGGACTCGTGTGACAGCAGTTTAGATTTAGTATCGTTCTCGTATAGGTGCCGGGGTATGCGAATTGCCTACATGATCTCAAGATGCATGTAAGTGTTTTATAGTGTCTTGCGTCACCTAGAGTTCAACAGGAAAAATAATTGGAGTTTTTGTGAACTGTCGCAGAAAACTATCTTCCAGTCGGGCACTAGCACTGAGAAGACCATTGAAAAACGTTTAGGTCGCTAAATTTTTACACAAGATTTTACTGCGTACCTTCGCGTCAGGTTTGTGGCTCGTGCCAGGCACTTTTGGAAGAGTCTTTTGCTGACCATATTGCGATATGAATCGTTCCCCTTTGATCAGTCCTTCAAGTAGTATTCGTGACTGTTTTGTCTTTCTTAACCTTTCCGCTGCGCAGGTAAGCACCCAAGACGAATTTTCAGAGTCAAGTTGGGGCTGCCTCGGTTTTATAAATCGGTCAGGTTGCTTAAGAATAACCTGAATGTTGTAAGCTGCATTGAATTATGTGTCTTGTACTATTTTACACGTTTCGAGGCGGGAGATTGTATACACAATGAATTCACCCTACAACCTTCTTGTTCTCACTGCTTGGTATGATCATATGTAGGTGGTTGCAAGATGTGTGGAATTCCCACCAATACCGCACAATAGTTCCACACAATAGTTTCACACAAAAGTACGGGTTCAAGTAGAACATGGGGTTGACGGAAACTCGGGTACTGCGCCAGCCTGATGACGCCTACGGAGAATGGCGAAGCCGATCATGAGCTGTCGAAGAGTTTTCAGCAACCTTGTGAATAGTTTCCCTTACGGGGAAACCATTTAACTTCCCCACCTGTCAGAGCTTATCATCAGTGTTTACTCTTGGTCTCATCGGAATTGATCAGAATGATCGCGTCAGATCGGAGAGAGAACCGTTCAAACGAGAGTGGTGTGGTTGTAAAATTGTATAGACCCTACAGCCAATTACAACCGAATGTTGTCCTCGAATAATTCGGCCTCATGTGTTTATGATCGCCATATCCATTATCTGCGAAACCGATGCGTGGTTGAATGCTGAGTGGATTGTAATTACGAACCAAACTTTTACGCTTGCCTCGTGTCTTCCCAAATCGATAACCCTTCAGACATCTAGTAATATCGGATATTATTCCCCCTTACGTAAGGTATCGCATTCGTGGTACCAAGAAACAGTTTGATGCGGTGAAATCTGTTATCCGGCACTTGCCCGGATGTACTCGCGTTTCAGAGGCTATTGTGATGGTATTCGAATGTACGGGCAAATCATGTGCATTGTAATAAAAAAAGCAATATTTTATTTCTGCACACTGGCAAAACTGGATGTATATTTTACTGAGCAAGTACAAATCAAGGCACAGCAAAATGTGGCAAACGTTCATCTGAACGGATGCAAAGTACTGATGTTTATTCGACTTTCTGAACTTCCTTCTGCATTATATAAAATAAAATGATGAGAAAATTCTCCGTAAATATTTCTACCATTCGGTCATGTGTGTAGATCAATATCACCATACCAACTTGAGTTAAATCTGGTGCCTTTATTAGGATAGTGTTTTTATCCTCATTTATCAAAGGTCAAACGTGGCGCTACTTTATTCCAAGCGTGAGGTAACGGAAATGTGGTCTAGAGATAGCCTGCTTTGGGCTAGATTCTGTCTAGTGACTAAGCTCGAGGTAGCCGCTTACTTACCGGAAGGGCTAGGGTTCGAACCCAATTGCGGAATCTTAACTGCTCCAGCTTAGGCTTGGGTAACCTGACATTATCCCAGCCTTTGTGCTTCGCTCGTATGGGAAGCCAGTTAGGCACCGGGAAGATGTTTTAGATGAGAAGTAGTTGGAGTAAGAGAAAGCCATCACTGAACTTACAATGAACGTAAAAGAATGCTATTTTTTTATGGATTTTGAACTTAGTCCGACTCCATATGTTGGATGAATTGAGAAAGCGGATCCTTAAAGCTACACGCCATCTACAGAGTGTCTGTTTAGTTAGTGTCAATTTCGGGTGAGGCAAAATTCTGGAGAAAAAGCTCAGACCGTGCACAGTTCGAAAGAAAGCTCAAAACAGTGCTCTCATGGTGTTTATGTATATTTACAAACTTCTGTCCCGCATTATATGGAACCAAAGAAGTTGCTTATTGACAACGGGTGCAATAGGTTAGACGGTGAACGTTGATTCCAGATTACCGTGAATCGCCTAGCCCACAGACAGTCTACGGTATTCACCAAAAATGCCCATTTTGTATTCGTGGAAATAGGGATTGAAGCTCACTCGAGGGTCGATATCACACTTATATGTGAAACTGGACCGCTATCTAGCCGAATAACTTCATTCGCAACCCGATATCATTTTATCACACCATACGACCTTTTCGATTATTCAGATTCCATGGTACATACCAAAGCATCAACCGGTCGCTACAAGACCGGCTACAACGCCATTTCTTGTCACACTGTCTTACTATGCTTTTGTGATGTTGGTCTTAGAGATGTAACAAATCAAAGCCAAAAATGTCTTCATTAAGTTCCTTGTAGAATGGCACAGAATGGGCCACTAGGAGCTCTGACAAGCACTACCACCGGAATGAAATCCTGTAATTTGGTTTCTCCTGCTTTCGACAAGCAAAAGTTCCTTCAGTGAGATTCTATCTGAGCAGTGAAGCCAGTCTATGCTGAAAAGCCGGGAAACGCCGTACAGCTGTCTCATGCACACCATCAGCCGTGGGCATCTTACGAAACTCAGCGAATCCAGAACGCAGGATCTTCCGACAGACATTTGAACACAACCGTACGGCCACGACCAACTGAACAACAGTGTGGTTAGGATGTCACAACCACGTACCCAGCTGAAGCCGAAAAGTTGAACTGCAACGATGCTGAGCATGTGAATTCCCCCAAACATAGAACTCTCATAAGCCATGTTCCAGCCGGTACGAGGTTGACAATCCCTTTTGTGGGAGGGACTAACTATACTAACCATGCGAGGAAATAATCATATAAGAACGTCAAATTTTGATAAAATACAGTTATAAATTTTCATGACACATGGGGCACACCCAACGCTTTTCCATACAGGCCACCTTTATCTTCCTTGAAAACCGCAACCATGATAACAGATGAAAACATTTTCGTTGAGAAGCCACCACGTTAGAAGTACAAACTACAGCTGCACTAGGGACTCTATTTTTAGTCCGAAATGGGGTGCGATTTAGATGTCGAAACGGACGTCCACTCATAACATCACCCAAACTGGTGACGACGCATTTGTAGCCAAATTGCTCAGCTCGGCAAAAAATCACTGACCGACAGTAGAACCTGAGCTACCCATGAAGCGGTGATACTACTGATGGAGGAGGCATGCGAGTAGCGTGTTTTCTTGTAAATTCGCTTCGCGTCTCTTGAAAAGTGAGATATTTTGCGGACTTTGTGGAGTCGCTTTGTAGCATTTGTTTGGACTTGAGGAACAGTCAGTCAGTATCCAGGAAAGTTCAAAAAGACGCGTTCAAAGAGAAGATGGATATTCGGTTTTTGTAAACAAGATGCATCCGAGAGTTTTGCTTCGCTGCCCAGTAGTCTGTAACGGTTCTGTTGGCATTTTCTAATAAATAACCCCGCGGCAAAGGCCTTCTTCCCTTCACCCATATTCTCTCCATTTGCAAACTTGAATGTACGACGTTAGAATTTAGGGGACAGAAACAATGTGTTAAAATACTGGTAAACCGGGCGCGTTTGCTCGTGGCTGTTTCGATGGTAGTCGATCTGTTCGCCTAGCTTGGAAGTCAGTTTACAAGTCTCCAGTCAAGAAGGTCAGTGCGCAGTTGAGTAGGTCGCTGCGTGCTAACCGTGTCTCTCCCCAACTGGACACGAAACGTTGGTAAGCTGATTGCCAAGCTCAGAGAACAGATCAATATCCATCTGATCAACCACCAATAAAACAAAAACGCACGTAGATGCACATTGCACAAATAGTCAGTCAGACAACTATCTTGTCATGTGAAGAACGGTATTATGCACCAGTAGGAACGGAATTGTCGAAGCTATAACCAGACTGGATTACTGTACTGTGTCTGATAGCAAATGTCCCAGAAATCAGAGCCTGTATTGGGCTACAGTTAGTCTAAGACGTCAAGAAGAAGGGAAGAAAATATGTGATTTTTATGACCACAGCTCGGAGACCCTCACTGTTCCATGCACCATACTGGTCACCGCTGGTGGTTGATTACAGAGCGGCTTGGTGGCCCACTTTAAAATTGTAATATTTACTGGAGAAATAGATTTATGTTAATCTGGAAGCTCGCGCAAGACTTTCGATCCTGTACTACTCGCACGCTTGACGGACAAACCACGTCAGAAAATGCATGGAAGTTGCCTCTGTATGCATTTATGTGATGGGATGTGAGTACGGAAATCGCCCCTGCTGATTGCAGATACACATTTAAGTTGAACAGGATAGAGTCGTATGGGGACTTTCGGCCTGTATAGGTACTTTTTAGACATTAGTAATGATGTGTAGTTTTGTGTATTCATCAAAGGTTCTAAATTTTTTTCCTTAAACGCCGCTGTTTACAAGATGAATAAAGCAAACAGTGTCACATTCAAATATAGAAAATTTACCCCCAATTTTTTGCTCTGTTTATGGAGAGAAAGATAGGGTAAAAATGAGCACTGAGTATACAATTGTTTGTAAG